GAGCTCTATAGTTTTCAGGTAAGCCAACCTAGAAGACCAGCGGCATTGTTTACATCTATGGTCAGCCGGGACTCTGTGCGTGTTAAATCAGAAAACAGTATAACAAAGCTTTATTTCCTATTCAAATTGGAGTGTGTTGGGCCTTTGATTTTAAAAGATTGGGTTCTGTGTACATTTGGATCTAGGTCTGCAATCCTACATGTACTCAAGAGCAAGCCATAGCACAGGCATGTGCTGTACTTTGGTTATAATACATTTAAATGCATATTTTTTAACCTTATGAAGTATATATATTGATTTATTGAAACCAAATCACAGCTCGAGCCTATACTTGCCCCGTGACGTTTTATAGTTCATGAGTATATAGTTTGTTACATAGGTTTCAAATATTTAATGTTAGCTAACAAATTGATCTAAGAGATAATAATAATAACAACAATAATAATAACAACAACAACAACAACAATAATAATGGTAAAGGTAAAAGTTTTCCCTTGACATTAACTCTAGAGGTGTCGACTCTGGGAGTTGGTGCTGATCTCCATTTCTAAGCTGAAGTGACATTGACAGCAGACACCTCCAGGGCCATATAGCTCGCATGGAACACAATAATAATAATGATAATAATAATAATAATAATAATAATGCTGACACAATAAGAGGATTTAAAGATCGAACTGCAAAGACTCTGGCATAAGCCAGTAAAGGAGGTCCCAGTGGTGATTGGCACACTGGGTGCAGTGCCTAAAGACCTTGGCCTGCACTTAAACACAACCAGCACTGACAAAATTACTATCTGTTAGCTGCAAAAGGCCCCCCCTACTGGGATCTGCACGCATTATTTGGACATATATCACACAAGTTTATCACTCAGGCATGGGCAAACTTGGGCATGGGCCCAAGTTTGCCCATGCCTGTACTAGATAGAGCATAACATTAAATATATGTAACATAATTAATCCATCACACAGTCCTAGACTCTTGGGGAAGTGTCCGAGGTGTGATCCAATACAACAGCCATCAGAGTGACCTTGTTTGCTGTGTACTAATCTTTTTGTATGTATAATAATAATAATAATAATAATAATAATAATAATAATAATAATAATAATCGCTTGGGAAGTGTTCGACCTTGTGATACGAAATCCAGCATATAGATCTCATTTGCTGTGACATACTGTGTTTTTGTATTAGTATAATAATAATGATGATGATGATGATGATAATAATAATAATAATAATAATAATAATAATAATAATAATAATAATAATGTTTTATTTATAACCCTCTCTATCTCCACAAGGGGACTCAGGGGAGATACATTTTAGGTAGGTGAGTATAAACTGTATATAGTTCCAGTTTCTCATGTGGGGACATGAGAAAAGCCTCCCACAGGATGGTAAAACATCCTGCAGTCCCCTGGGGAACGTCCTTGCAGACAGCCAATTCTCTCACACCAGAAGCGACAAGGAATATCAGATGTTAAGGAGAGTAATTTTCCAAGAAAGTAACATAATATAAAGCAATATTATATGTTTTAATATAAGGGAATGTCATTTTTAAAATCTAATGTTATGAGTTTTCTTTTCCAGGATTTTTAAAACTAATCTTCTCTTTGTTTTAAGTTGCTACTGTCTAAAATGCAGGCTGTTTAGGAGACAAAAGACAGTAAAGCCTTCCTAAGGCAAAGAAAAAAAAATATTCCCGAACCCACAGCCAGGAACACATTTAAGTAAAGTAAAGTTTGTCCCCTGTCAAGTCCAGTCATGTCTGACTCTGGGGTGTGATGCTCATCTCCATTTCTAAGCCGAAGAGCCGGCGTCGTCCATAGACACCTCCGAGGTCATGTGGCCGGCATGACTGAATGGAGTGCCCTTACCTTCCCACCGGAGCGGTACCTATTGATCTACTCACATTTGCATGTTTTCGAACTGCTAGGTTGGAAGAAGCTAGGGCTGACAGCGGAAGCTCACGTCGCTCCCCGGAATCGAACCTGCGATCTTTCGGTCAACAAGTTCAGCAGATCACCGGGAAACACATTTACTACGATCATAAAACTATATGTGAAATTGTGAGCAAACTTTCAAGACTTCCAGATATCTTCATCAGACAATATATTGGTCCTAAAAAAATGCTGTCAGAGATATATTTGGAAGGTTGTTCTTCGAAACTAAGCAATGTCAGCCCTGTTTAGCCAAGGAATACCAAGTACTGTAAGCTATTTTTTAGAAGAAGTTGGCAAAGTCACTTCTGAGTATGCCTTGTATAAGAAAACCCTACGGAATGTATAAGGTTGCCATAAATTGACAGGAAACTTGAAGGAACATGTACACACAACCCACTGAATGAGACCCAAGGCCTAGAAATAGTGTCTATTTCTGAATCAAGAAAGTGACCTTACTATACACAGGAGAACAGTGGAGGGTCTAGGTGGTGTAGGTGTTTGAGCATTGAACTTCAGCTAGAGCAGTGGTTCTCAACCTGGGGTCCCCAGATGTTTTTGGCCTACAACTCCCAGAAATCCCAGCCAATTTACCAGCTGTTAGGATTTCTGGGAGTTGAAGAAACACATCTGGGGACTCCAGGTTGAGAACCACTGAGCTAGAGACTAGGGTTCAAATCTCCACTGAGCCATGGAAACCCACTGGATGGGCTAGTCACACTTTCTCAGCCTCAAAGGAAAGCAAGAGCAAACACTCTCTGAGCAAGTTTTGGCCTGAAAGGACTTGAAAGTACACAACAACAAAAATATTATAAGGAAACTTACTGCAGATATGTTAAAACTCCACGTGATTTTTGGAAACAAGTAATGTAGGGATTCTGTTCAAGTTTATATTTCAGGTCAGGTAAATGTTATAGGCGAGATAAATTGTAGCATCAGTACTCTTTAGCAGAGAAGGCTTAAGGCCTTGCAATACAACTTCCAGGATTCTACAACAGTGGGCCATGGCAGTTAAAGTGGAGTCAACCCGCATTAATTCTACACTGTGGATGCACCTAAGGAAAGGCTTCTGAAGAGATCAATGGCTCCCCCCCCCCCTCACCTCCAAAAAAACCCCAAACAAACAATTGATTGATTTGGAGTGCTGTGGAATAAATGCAGCTTGATTTCCCACTTGCCCCAATCAAGAGACCAATAGTTTCTCAAAGTCTTTAACTACTCAATAATGCCAATGCCTTCCTAAACTGCAACTCCCAGGATTCCATAGCATTGAGCCATGGAACTTAAAGTGGTGTCCACTATGCAAAGTAGATGCACCCTTTCTTGCATAAGACAAAGTGCCTTAAAAACTATGTTTTTAAGGTACTCTGTTTTTTGTGTTTCCTCTACCCTGTTTTTAATTTTTATGTTTACTTTTTTCATGCATTTAGTTCTTCGTTATTATTATTTTCTACTATGTTAGATTGCTTTGATGTATTTACACTTCTTTGGGCATTAGATGCTTGCCTTCTTTGTGTGTAAACTGCCCCAATTATTATTATTATTATTATTATTATTATTATTATTATTATTATTATTATTATTAGATACAGAACAAGATTAGTACACTGCAAACAAGATCACTATGCTGGCTTTTGTATTTGATCACACCACATAATATAATGCGTGCAGATTTGAGTAGAGTGGTGCTGATTAGGTTGTTCTGATTTTTCCGGGCTGTATGGCCATATTCCAGAAGCATTCTCTCCTGACATTTCACGCAGGCATCCTCAGAGGTTTTGAGGTCTGTTGGAAACTAGGAAAATGGGGTTTATATCCAGGGTGGGAGAAAGATTTCTTGTCTTTTTGAGGTAGGTGTGAATGCTGAAATTTGCCACTTTGATTAGAATTTAATGACCTAGCAGTTTCAAGGTCTGGCTTCATACTGCCCTGGGGAATCTTTTGTTGGCCCGATTGTGTTGAAGTGCAGGCCAAGGTCTTTAGGCACTGCACCCAATGTGCCGATCACCACTGGGACCACCTTTACTGGCTTGTGCCAAAGTCTTTGCAGTTCTATCTTGAAATCTTCTTATAAACTTTTCCAGTTGCTTCTCATCAATTCTGCTGTCACTGGGATTGTAACATCGAGGATCCATACTTTGTGTCCCCCCCCCCCCCCCGCGATTGTGAGGTCAGGAGTATTGTGCTCCAAAACTCTGTCAGTCTGAATTCGGAATTATTATTATTATTATTATTATTATTATTATTATTATTATTATTTAAAGTTAAAGGTTTTCCCTGTCATTAAATCTTGTACTGTTCGACTCTGGGGGGTGGTGCTCTCCTCCATTTCTAAGCCGAAGAGCCCTTCCACACAACCCTATATCCCAGAATATCAAGGCAGAAAATCCCACATTATCTGAGTGTGGACTCAGATAACGCAGTTCAAAGCAGACATTGTGGGTTTTTCTGCCTTGATATTCTGGGATATAGGGCTGTGTAGATGGGCCTGAAGTTACATGTTTTCGAACTGGTAGACACCTCCCAGTTGCATGTTTTGGAACTGCTCGGTTGGCGGAAGCTGGGCCTAACAGCAGGAGCTCACCCCGCTCCCCATGAGCCACCAGGAGGTCCCTTCTTTGTGTGTATATTTACCTGGCCTATCATATTTACTAGGCCTATAACATTTACCTGGCTCAAAGATGTAAACTTAAACCAAATCTTTACATAACTTTTGCTCCTTAAGTACAAACTTTCAATGCGCCTGTAGTCAAATTTCATTGTCAAACTGCGTTCATGCTATAGTCTGGGCTCCATTTCCACGGGTCATTCAATGCCATTCCCTCGAAAGCAAGTCTTCATTCGGGCTTCAAACTAGTCCCGGATTCCTCACAACCTCTGAGGATGCCTGCCATAGATGCAGGCAAAACGTCAGGAGAAAATGCTTCTAGAACATGGCCATACAGCCCGGAAAACTTACATGACCCAATTCCTCGTGTCATTATCGAAAGACATTGCATTAAATGGCCGGTGTAGCTGGGGATGTAGGCTTGATTTGGGGGGGCCTGTGGGTCTTACCTTGATCCGTGATGGACCTGATGCCCAAGATGTCGGTGACGGAGTGGGAGGAGGGCCAGGTGCGGGGCAAGTGGACGGCGCTGTGGAGGGTGGGCACTCCGGGCGGGGTGTGCCCCTTGGCGCCCGAGGCCGCGATGGGGCTGGGGTAGGAGTAGAGCGGGTTGTAGGGCAGGGCGGGCTGCGGGGCGGCCTGGGGGTGGTGGTGGTGGTGATGGTGGTGCTGCTTGTAGGCCTCGAAGTGGTGGGCGCCCTGCTGGGCCAGGTTGCCGATCTTGTTGCGCAGGATGCGGCTGATGGAGCTGACCGAAGGCACGTTGTACTTGTCGCACACGCCGTCGGCCAGGAGGCGGTCGCGGATCTCCCAGGCGAAGATGCCCGGGTCGCGCTGCTTGTAGGTCCGGATGTGCTTGACCACCGTCGGGGTGGTGACGCGGGGCTTGCTGCCCCCGATGGCCCCCGGCAGGATGGAGCCCGTCTCGTTGTAGCGGGCCAGGATCTTGCTCACGCAGCCGTGCGAGACCCGCAGCTGGCGGCTGATGTCGCAGGGACGGATGCCCAGCTGGGCCAGCTCCACGATCCGGAGCCGGATGGCGTTGGGCAAAGGGCGCCCGTTGACGAAGACGCCGCCCAGCTGGTTCACCTCCCCGAAGGCCGGCTCTGCAAGGAAGGAAGGCAAGCAAGGAGAAGGCCTCAGAACCGGAGGAAGAGGAGGAAGGGGACGCCAAGCACCTCTAAGGCAGGCAGGGGCAGACTTGGGCCCTCCAGATGTTTTGGACTTCAACTCCCACCATTCCTAACAGCCGCTTAGCCATGTTTTACCGTGTCATTTATTTATTTACAACACTTATATGCCGCCCTTCTCACCCCGAGGGGGACTCAAAGCGTCTTGCAACACACACATATATATATATACACTATATTTTTAACATAGTACAATATCAGTATTAAATATTACTATATTGTATTATACCATTATATTGCAATATTATTAGTAATATAAAATGTAATATAAATATATAATTATAATATCATATTATTATTATTATTATTATTATTAGTAGTAGTAGTAGTAGTAGTATTATATTGCATTGCTTTATAGTGTATCTTGTGTTATGTATCTCAGCTTTTCTTTAGTGGGCTACCACAAGCTGACATCACTTCAGCTGACTTTAATAAAAATCCTAGGTGACTTGTCCCCAACTTGGTGAGACTTCTCTCCAACTTGGTGAACAATATAAGCGGCTGAGGGGTAAAGGAAAGGGCCCGAGGCTGTTAGGAATGGTGGGAGTTGGAGTCCAAAACACCTTGAGGACCCAAGTTTTCTCATGCCTGATCTACACAGTAGGATAAATGCATTGATGCGCTTCAACTGCCATGGATTCGTGAGAATTGTCATTTTACTCGATCTTTAGCCTTCCCTATTATGGTTCTTTGGTTACTATAGAGCCATGGCAGTTCGAGTGGTGTCAAACTGCATTAATTCTACACTGTAGACGCACCCTCTCCATGATACTACTACTAGATCATACGCCTTAGGGCTGAGTGGGAAAAGGAAGGGGCATGAGGCTGTTAGGAATGGTGGGAGTTGGAGTCCAAAACCCCTAGATGACCCAAGTTTGCCCATGCCTGATCTATACTGTAGAATTAATGCATTGAGGCGCTTCAACTGCCATGGATTCACGGGAATTGTCATTTTGCTCGATCTTTAACCTTTCCTGTTATGGTTCTTTGGTTAGTATAGTGCCATGGCAGTTCGAGTGGTGTCAAACTGCATTAATTCTAAACTGTAGATGCACCCTATCCATGATACTTCTAGATCATACGTACTCTAAGGCCCTATCCAGGCCGTTTCCGACCAAGCTTTGCTCAGAAACGAGTTTTCCTTTTGAAGCCGAGAGATTTGCCCATTCTTGAGCGGCTGAGGGGGAAAAGGAAGGGGTCTGAAGCTGTTAGGAATGGTGGGAGTTGGAGTCCAAAACACCTAGACGACCCAAGTTTGCCCATGACTGATCAACACAGTAGAATTAATGCATTGACGGGCTTCAACTGCCATGGATTCATGAGAATTGTCATTTTACTTGATCTTTAGCCTTCCCTGGTATGGTTCGTTGGTTAGTATAGAGCCATGGCAGTTCGAGTGGTGTCAAACTGCATTAATTCTACACTGTAGACTCACCCTATTGGTGATACTACTAGATCATACGCACTCAAAGGCCCTATCCAAGTGGTTTCTGACCAAGCTTTGCTCAGAAAGGAGTTTGCCCTTTGCCCATTCTTGAGCGGCTGAGGGGGAAAAGGAAGTGGCCTGAGGCTGTTAGGAATGGTGGGAGTTGGAGCCCAAAACACCTGGAGGGTCTAAGTTTGTCCCTCGCAGTCTCCTACGCCTTCCCCTCCCCACCTCGCTTTCCTGGAGTTTGGGGCTCAACAGGAAACGCCTGGTTGAAACTGGACGTGCCTGGGACTCTTGTGAAGTACTAAGGAAGTCCCACTCCGGGATGGAAAGGGAAAGCAGACACTCGGGTGCGAGTGGGCCAACTCCAGCGCCACTCGCCTCTCTCCCCTTTCCCCCGAGTCGCCCTTTTGCAGGCGGCCCAGCACTGCGGTCGCCAATCAAGCCAGCAAAAAGCAGGAGCCTCTTCGTTGGCCGGCCCTGTCTGTCTGTCTTTCTGTTTCGCCTTCCCCGCCGGACTCACCCATGGCTGGAGTCGGGACCCGGCTGCTCCTGGGCGCTCCGGCCGAAGCCCGGCCTCGATCCGCGCTGGGCAGGAAGGCCCGGCCTGCCTCCGAGTCCCGGCCACGGGTTCAGGGCGACGGAGCCCGCGGCAGTCCCTTTCCCGAGGCAGCCGCCCGAGCAAGAAGAGGGTCTGCATTTCAATCGCGCAGCAACGTGGGGCTGGGCAGGGCGGGGCCTCCTGGGCTGTCAATCACTCTGGCACCGCCCCGAGGAAGGCGGGACCACGGAGGCAGGCGGCTCCCGATTGGGGGAGGGATTTTGACGGACGGGAGAGGCTTCCGTTTCTGACTGTCGGCATCTGAACCCTCCTTCTCCCCATTCTTCCCCTCCTCCTCCTCGCAATGGCCCGGATCAGGGCCCGATGGAAAGTGGCCCCTTTGGGGGAGGGGCTGGGAAAGATCCCCCCACTCAAGACTCCAGTGTCCTCAGAAAAACCTCTACACTGCAGAATTAATGCAGTTTGACATCACTTAAATTGCCATAGCTCAATGCTATGGAATCATGGAAGTTGTAGTTTGACAAGGTTTCGGTGGCTCACCTAATTACAAACTCCATAATTCCATAGCATTGAGACATGGTTAGAGTCATAGAATCATCGAGTTGGAAGAGACTTCGTGGGCTATCCAGTCCAACGCCCTACCAAGAAACAGGAAAATCACATTCAAAGCATCCCCGACAGATGGCCACCCAGCCCTCTGCTTAAAAGCCTCCAAAGAAAGAACCTCCACCACAGTGTATTAATTCTACAGTGTACAGCCAGCCTGACTCCAGCTGTCTTTTTAGCTCTGGTTCCAGTACCTGTAGTCAACCCTCCACAGATGTCATTTGGGACACATCTGCAGTTTGACATCACTTTAACCACCATGGCTCAATGATATGGGATTCAGAGAGTTGTAGTTTTGCGAGGTTTTTCTTTTGAGTTCTCTGACAATGAGGGCTGGTGCCACACCAAACTACCAACCCCATGACCCCATAGCATTGAGCCAGGGCACTCAATGCGGAGCCAGAATAGGATGGGAACAATGGCTTCAAACTACAGGAAAGGATATTCCACTTGAACCTGAGGAAAAAGTTTCTGACTGTGAACTCTCTGCCCTGGCGTGTGGTGGAGGCTCCTTTTTTGGAGGCTTTTAAACAAAGACTGGATGGCCACCTGTCGGGGTGGTTTGAATGCGATTTTCCTGATTCTTGGCAGAGGGTTGGACTGGATGGCCCACGAGGTCTCTTCCAACTCTATGATTCTCAAAATAAACGAACAGAGGAATGAATGAATCCAGGTGAAAAATATTAGGAAAGGCAATGGAAGTTCGTGAGGGGGGGGGGGGTTGTTCAATCGAGCTGTATAGTAGAAACAATACTATTAGTGTTGCTTTCAGTAAGCGGTTCTCTTTAAGGATGCAAGTTGTCGCATGGGTATGCTTGTGTTTAAAATGTGTGTGCTAAGATCTGTTCCTGTATGTGATATATATGTGTGCAGGCCTGTAGCCAGGATTTTGATTTGGGGGGGGGGGGGGCTGAGGATGTAACCTAGTAAACCTTTTGTATCGTTATCCCAATACCCCCATGCATATGGGATATATTGAGCATGGTGACCAGACCATGATATGAATAAGTATAACAGTTTAAATAATGTACCAGTGATGGCATCCTTGGAGTGACTGGAATGACCATTGACCTTGAAGGAGCTGGGGGTGGTGACGGTCGATAGGGAGCTCTAGCGTAGGCTGTTCCATCAGGTCACGAAGAGTCGAAAAGTGAACGGATGAATAACAACAAGGCCTTGCGCAGACCAGGCCCGTAGCCAGGATTTCAATTCGGGGGGGGGGGGGGGGGGGCTGAAGCTACATGCCTGTATATGTGTGTGTATGTATGTGTGTGTATATATATATAAGGTGCCCTGTCGATTTATGGCGACCCCATTAATTCAATACCATTTTTCTTCGGCAAGGAACACTGAGGGGTGGTTTTGCCAGTTCCTTCCTCTGAAACACAGATTCCAGCATCTGGTATTCGCTGGTGGTCCCCCATCCAAGTAGTAGCCGAGGTTAGGGTTAGGAGTTTTGTGTGTGTGTGTGTGTGTCAGGAGCGACTTGAGAAACTGGAGAGAATTGCCCAGGGGACGCCCGGATGTTTTAGTGTTTTATCGTCCTTGTGAGAGGCTTCTCTCATGTCCCGCATGCGGAGCTGGAGCTGACAGAGGGAGCTCTCCCCTGATTCGGATTTTAACCTTCCAACCTGTCGGTCACCACTCCTGCAGCACAAGGGATTAACTCATTGCGACACCAGGGTTAGGGTCATTTCTTATAATGCTCAAGCTCCCTTGATTGAATTGTATTGAGCCATTGCTATGAAAGCGTATTAATTCTACAGTGTAGATCAGGCATGGGCAAACTTGGGCCTTCCAAGGGTTTTGGAGTTCAACTCCCACCATTCCTATCAGCCTCAGAGCCCTTCCTTTTCCCACGGAGGGTGAAAAGGAAAGGGCCTGAGGCTGATAGGAATGGTGAGAGTTGAACTCCAAAACCCCTGGAAGGCCCAAGTTTGCCCATGCCTGGTGTACATGCACCTTGAGGCCCCGTCATTCAGTTTCAAGCCCACTCAACGGGCCAAAGCACAGCCTCCGGGAAAGCTCAGCTCCAGTGTTTGGCGCCCTTTCTCCATCCCTTCCTCCGCAATGATATGTTAACTAGGAGACACATTCCCTGCAAACCTCCTCGGAAATTGGTCTCTCCGCTGCTTCCCTGCCAAGGCGAACTCTTCCGCCAAGGCACGCTCGCGGGAGAAAAAGCGGGTTCGCGTGGCTGGCCGAGCTGCTTTCGCTTCGGCCTGAGGAGAAGGAAGGCGAGAAGGTCCTTTCGGAGGGAGAAGAAAGCAGGGAGCCGCTGAACCAGAAAGGCCTGCGGATCCCGAAGAGAAACCCTATGGCCAAAGAAACCCCCCTGGTGCCTCTTTGGCTGAAGGCAAAAGCAAGTAGCCTTTTGTGTGTATTCTCGGAGCGAAGCTGTCTCTGGGCAAAGCGGGAAAATAAGGACTGGTTCCTGTCAAGGTGGGCTTCTAGGGTCGAGGATCTCAAGCCTTTCTTTCCGTGCTCCGGGCTCACACGGCTTCAGGTAGGAGGCAATCCTGACATCCCAAAAGGTTTCCAAAGATGGAGGATGAGGATCAGAAGTCATTCCTTTCCATTATTATTATTATTATTATTATTATTATTATTATTATTATTATTATTATTATTATTAACACAACAAGATGAGTCCACATCAGACAAGATCACTCTGCTGGCTGTTGCATTGGATCACACTTCTCAAGTGTCTAGGACTATGTGATGTATCCCGTGCAGATCCGAGTAAGGTGGTCTTTTGAAGCTGACCTATGGTAATTTTGTCAGTGCAGTTTGTTTTTAAGTGCAGGCCAAGGTCTTTAGGCACTGGAGCCAGTGTGCCGATCACCACTGAGACCACCTGTACTGGTTTGTGCCAGAGTCTTTGCAGTTCGATCTTTAAATCCTCATATCGTGTCAGCTTTTCCAGTTGTTTCTCTTCAATCCATTTCCATTATTATTATTATTATTATTATTATTATTATTATTATTATTATTATTATTATTATAAACACAACAAGATTAGTACACAGCAAACAAGATCACCATGGGGCTGTTGTATTGGATCCCACTTCGGACACTTCCCAAGTGTCTAAGACTATGTGATGTAGCCAGTGCAGATCCGAGTAGGGTGGCCTTTTGAAGCTGACAGATGGTAATTCTGTCAGTGTAGATTGTTTTTAAGTGCAGACCAAGGCCTTTAGGTACTGCACCCAGCGTGTGGATTACCACTGGGGCCACCTTGACTGGCTTGTGCCAGAGTCGTTGCAGTTCGATCTTTAAACCCTCATATCCTGTAAGCTTTTCCAATTGCTTCTCGACAATCCTGTTTTGTTTTTTGTTTTTTTTTTGTCGTGTCAGGAGCGACCTGAGAAGCTGCAAGTCGCTTCTGGTGTGAGAGAATTAGCCGTCTGCAAGGACGTTTCCCAGGAGATGCCCGGATGATTTGATGTTTTATCATCCTTGTGGGAGACTTTTCTAATGTCCCCGCATGAGGAGCTGGAGCTGATAGAGGGAGCTCATCCGCCTCTCCCCGGATTCGAACCCGCGACCTATCGGTCTTCAGTCCTGCCGTCAATCCTGCTGTCACCTGGGATTGCAACATGAAAATCCATACTTGTTTTTTTCAACGGATCCTGAAGTTTTGTGTTCCAAAACTCAGCCAGTCTGAATTCGAAAGTCCCAGAGTAGTTTGCCGATTATTGTTGTTATTGTTGTTGTTATTATTATTTGATACACAACAACATTAGTACACAGCAAATCAAGATCGCTGCCTGTTGTATTTGATCACACGTGGGACACTTCCCAAGCGTCTAGAGATTCTTTTCAAGTGCAGACCAAGGTCTTTAGGTACTCCACCCTGTATGCCGAACACCACTGGGACCACCTTTACTGGCTTGTGCAGAGTCTTTACAGTTCCTCTTATAGTGTAAGCTTTTCCAGTTGTTTCTCGTCTAATTCTGTTATTATTATTATTATTATTATTATTATTATTATTATTATTATTATTTTAAATCTGTTTCTCTGCAAATCAACGACATTGCAAAATTCCATAGCATTAAGCCGTGGCAGTTCAAGTGGTGTCACACTGCATTAATCAGACATTGTAAATGCAGTCTTCAGGAGCCGATTGAACATTGAAAAAACAAACAAACCAACCAACAAACCAGAAAATGTAACTACTTTGATTTGAGAAGAAAATCAAATATCCGGTGAGGAAGTTCATCTACGAAATGCTTCCGTTGACAGTCAACAATAAATTCACGTGTATTTTCCTTCTCAATCTCAGCTCAATGTGAAGAACTAAGATTGAGGGTTCTTTTTTTCCTGTCGGGAGCGACTTGAGAAACTGATGTTTTACCATCCTTGTGAGAGGCTTCTCTCATGTCCCCGCATGCAGAGCTGGAGCTGACAGAGGGAGCTCATCCGCGCTCTCCTCTG